ACCTTCTCCACCTGTGTAAACTTGTCCAAGAAGATTGATGGACGAAATCTTCTGGATTCGGTCATTCACAAACCAACAATTCCTGATTGTTGTCTTGGCACTGCAAAGAGAATCATCGTCATACTCAATTTTATAGAAATCGAGCCGACAATCATACTCGGATTTTCTCCTTGTTGTTGGTGGCTTCAAACACAATGGTAGAGCAGAAAGAGGTAGAGATTCGTTGCCAAATGTTTGCTTTGAAGGCTTTTCAGTGGATTGTAGGAACGTTGGCAAGTGAAAGAATGACGGTATCAAAGGATGTGGCGAAAGTGCAGGATTATAGATTTTACAACCAGACAGCTTGAGAAAGAGAGAGAGGAGTAAAGGGCTGGTAACATTTCTGAGATGCGCTTGACAAAAGTCACCATTGTAAGAACTCTCAAGAAACCTTTTCATGTAGGTATTCTCGAACCCACTCTTCTGGTTTGTCTCAAACCCTTTCAATACACCATTATAGCGTTCAAAGCTAAATAGCCAAAATCCGTAAATTGGCCCAAAGTCCTCAATCGTTTCTTTTAGATGGAGATGGAGATGCATGTTTTGCGTGAATACATCTGGTTTATAAAAGTCTTCACAACCAACACAGAACTCCTCCAAACTTTCGTGAGCTTTTTTGATCCCATTTTTGGTGATACTTGGCTTCGTCAATTCTCTGCATGCATCGACAAAATGGATCCAATTGCCAAGCAGATCATCTCGCAGGCGTGTCTTAAGCAGAACAGGAGAGTATATCAGGCACCATGATTTCCACTCATCTGCTTTCATAAACGGAAATTTCTTTCCAATCTTTATCTTCAGAGTCGTATACCCTACAGGGAGTACCATTCTATTAGCCTCTTCCTGCATCTCTACCAAATCTTTGTCATCAAGCAAATTGGTTGCAATCCAAATATCCATCATTCGTTTTGCAGTCCCGAGAAAAAGGTTGTGCATGGGATCGATAATGGTTGCACGCACTGGCTCAAAGTATACAAGTCGATGAAGCTCAGACCAACGAACACCATTCTCAATCTCCAATCGCTTTCTCTATGTCAATGTCTTTGCATTCTTCCACAGGTTTGCATGTCTGCGATTTTCTTCTTTTGTGCGGTCTACCCATTCCGAAAACTTAAGCCCAAAATAGTTTACAGCATTGGTACCATCAATACGAGCAAACTGACGATTGCATTTGTAGCATGCACATGTGCTGTTGTGAGATGTAAACCCACACGTCTTCCTTGCAGCAGGGATGTCGCATGCAACCATCAACAGAGCGGCATGCACCAGAGCACCTGAGCAGTTATATGTATCAGTTGTGATACCTTTATACAATAGCATAAGTTCATCAACAAGAGGACGCAAATAGTTATTGATCTCGTCGGTGCTTGCTTCTTTAGGTCCAGGCATCAATCCAACAAGAATGACATTTTCTGCCTTGTTCCACTCTTCTCTCGGCAGATTGTTAATTGTCAGGTATATCGCACCACAAGAATATGTTACTCCATCAAATGGTTGAAACCAATCAATGTTCAGTGTCAATAGTAATGATCGTTCCTTCAAAACAAACTGGACACCATCCTCATCCACTAATTCGTTCCACATCTTTCCATCATATACATCGAATAAAGTACCGTCAACTTTTGGTTCACGATTCCATCTGTTGATCATACTCTCAAAAGAAGGACGTGTAAACATTTTTTTCAAGGTAGTTGTCAACAAGTTATAAACAAATGTGCACTTTGGAATCATGGTGTTCTTCATACTAGACTTGTAGAGATCATTCTTACAATGCGTCTTACTACCAACTCTTTTGAAATTGCAGGATGTATGTGTGTTGTTGCTGTAATTGTACAATGTGTGACAATTACTGCATGCTACATATTTTGATATGCCGTTTGTCAAGTCATTGTATCCTGTTATTTTCCTCAAACCCGGAATGCTTGTGGGAAGTCAGAAATCCTCTCCATAATGTTCGAGGATTGTATTTATGAATGTAATCAAAATTATTGCGCCTTCATCCACAATGAAGCTAGAAATAAATATCACAGTGAAAACCGCAATTACTCGATGCCAAATATTCTCTGAAAGGTTTTCTGTAGACTCTGTAAGTTATCATAAAATAATATTAATTTTTTGTTTCTTTAATTCAAATCTTTTTTCTTCAATCATAGTTTATTTTTAATATTTACCCTGTTCTTGCTCTCTGTTCTGTTCTTCTTGCTCAAATTCATCTGACGACTCATATTCAGACTCATACTCTGAGGTATGCTCCTCTGTTTCAAAAAGAGATTCTTCCACCAAAAGAGGTAAGTTGGTATTGACATACTGCTCTGGTGAGGGTGCACCAACAGAGTAATTATCATCTATTGGTACCAAGTTTAAATAGAGTGCGCATTGGGTATAAAAAATAAAATACTATTACATTCAATATGTTCTTCAATTTGATCTACGTCTATATCAGCTTCACCAGTGTTTACTTTGGCTGTCAAAACTATTTGTTCTAATGGATTAGAATACATCATATAAATAAATGAAAAATTGATAACTTAATTTACCATTAATGGTTTTATCCATATTCCTGTCATTATCATTCTGGGCATGACGCTTGGCAGTTCTTTTATCTGTCATGGTGTATCTGAGATGATTGCGATTGCATCTTGTGCATTTGCAACGAACTTCATCGGGATTGGCAATGGCAAACATTTTTTCACTTAATTTTTTTAATAATAAAGGAAGTGTGTAACAGCCGTTGCTTATTATAATTGTCTTTATTATTTTGAAAAAATTCTCTCAGGGACTCTGATATATATTAGGCCAATGATATGTCTTTAAATATATTCTCGCTGCTAAACACAGGAAATGACCTGGGTTGTAATTTTTTGGCTACTGTTATCGATAATTCCAGGTAAGTGGAATTCAATTATTTTAAGGTGTTTTTGCAGTGTCTATGCCGTGTTGCTTAACAGACAAGAATAAAAAGATAAAACATGGTTATTATATATGTGTCTATTTATTAATAATTTTCTCTTTCTCTCATCAGCTCATTAACTCATCAGTTCATTATAAGGACATACCAACATTAGAAATTTATCTGATAAATCTGAATAATATATTTCTTTATTTTATTCTTATATCTAATTTTGTTTATTTTCGATCTCTGTTAGTACTGCTAGCATTTTTATGTACCTAATTGAATGAATTTTCTTTAAAAATCAGTTTTCTTTAATAAGTAATAAAATCAAACTATATTCCATAATCTTTACTAATATGTTTTTTTAACCTTTCAGAACAACAGTCAATGTGTACTATGTCTGGTTTTGATAAAAGCACTGGTAAGTAATTATACTATTTAAATTAAAAAATAAATGAATATTTATATAATCTAATAAAAGTGAATAATTTTTTAGTCTTCTCTTATAAGTAAAATATCATAAACACCCGTTTCTTTTTGGGATTCTATCATATTGAAAGTATTCATATATCATAATATATGAAAGAGTTTGCTATTATATTAATTATGTAGTAATTTATATATTATATTAGACTATATATTATTAAGTCATATATATTATAAGCAAAAAGCTTTTTTTTAAATAAAAACAATTTTTCTAAAACAATTTCTGCAAAAATATTTGAAATGAAGTGCAAGAAGTATTGCAGTAATATGAAATGTGTGAATTCTATAGTTTAGTCATGCATAATTGTCCAATAGAAGTGTTTAAATTCAGAAGAGAATATATATAAATCCTGTTTTTTCTGTTAAATGATTCAATAGAATACCATTATTTTGGTAAAACTTTTTCTCTATTAAATAATTCAATAAGATACTATTATTTCAGTAGACAGTTTTCTATCTAAGACAGATGCTTTTTTTTTATTAGACCGTCTCTTTTAAAGCAGTGTTGCTGTAACGTGGTGCCAAACAAAAAAAAAGCATGCACTTTAATTAAGGTTTTGTGTTTAATTGTTTAAAAGAACTACACTTTTGCATATAGACAATTATGGCTTTGGAAGTTACTTGGACAACTCATATGTAATATAATATATAGAGAACGGAATATAGACATACAAAAATTTAGAATTTAATTATTCTGTTACCCAGAATTTCTTGTACTCTTCCATATGTTTAGATAAGTAATTTTTCCAGTGCAATATGACAAGAATAAAATGTGTAAATAAAAGATATAGTAAAAATATAATAATAAAAGTACTGATGCTGCGTGAAGATGTTGACAAAATGAATTATGTAAGTTGTGAAAGAGAAATATTACTAGCATAGGTGACTATGATTTCGAATGAATACAATGTAGACAAATATGTTAACAAAGAAAAAGAAAAAAGTATTGTGTGTAAAAAGAACAGGGAACGGAAACAAGATGTTTTCTGTGTACAGAAAAATTCTTCTTTTACCACCAAGGGTACAGCACCACATCAACAAATCATTGACGTCAGCCTCTCATAACTGGGGCAGCATGTTATGACAAACTGCCAGACAAACCTACTGATCAGACTGACCTTCCGGTACTGGACATCACGACATGACCAAAAGCCAGATCTGCCCACAACACATGTGTGGTGATCCAGACACTCGGATGTTGGATTTATCACATATAAGAACATATTCATATTGGGATAGCGTAGTAGCTATCATCTTGTCAGTATAAAATATATATAAACAATTAAGTAATCAGCCCAATAATTATTACAGTTAGTACTGTAGATAATATCTTAAAGATTGTTAAGATAATTATATCATACTGCCGGGTAAACTGTGTCAGATCAATATGGAGCTAATTTAGTAGGAAGTCCTAAAGCTCTAGTATAAAAGAGAAAAGAATAGCTAAGAGCTAAAGAAGTACGATTTATGACTTGATGTCATAATTGTAACACCGACACTAGTTAAGCAGTAAATACACTCTAATAACCAAATATAGTAAAGGAAGAAAACCTTAAGAAACTAAGACGTAATGACAAGAGCAGATTGTGTTTTCTTATAAAAAGGGACACTTTTTTTTTATGAATAAAGACAACTTATATACAGTCTCAAAGTATTTCTATACGTCTCTATTATCAAATATTTTAATTTTTCTATTGTTTCGTACCTGAAATACCACAACATGTGACATAGTGATGTGTGTGGTGCTTGTATTTGTGTTAAATGTTGACAGGTGATGTTATCACAGTTTTTGAGGTTTGAATGGGTTTGTAGATGTGAAATAACCTCTCTTTTCCACAAGAGAGAAAAAGACAAACTCAAAAGAGAATGTAGAATTAAAGATAATAAAGTCAATAAGAGAGAAATAAGAGAAAAACAGTACTATTAATCAATCTTAATAGACTTGACTCAATATACTTAGATAATCAAACAAGTAAAATATCAACAGCATTAAATATTAAGAGAACTTGTTGTCAGAAAATAAGACGAAGAAAAATCAATGTTTATTAAATGCAAGTATTGAGATATTTATAGTTTTATAATTAACTTGTTAAATAATTAAATAAAAAAATTATAAAAAAAAATATAATAAAAGTTGTATAATCAATGATCTATTAAATGTGATTTGTTCTTTACTATCATTAAGTACAAATAAAATAAAATAATTATTAAGTCATAATCATGAAGATAATTATACTTGTAAGAATATATAATAAAAATAATATTAATTCCAAGTTAATTTATTTAGTTAAATATAATGAGAAAATAAGATACAATATGTGGTTGCCTGAAGTTATTGTTGACAGGATGATGCTTTTTTGCTGTACTCATTGGTATTTTGCTTTACAAATAGAAAATTGCTTTCTATTCAGCCTTGGCCGCCATTGGAAAATCAAAAAAATGATAATAGAATATAATTTTTTTTAGAATTACAAAGAATTTGGCAACATCACCGCACTGCTGAACAAACAAAATTTTGTAAAAAGCTAAATATTATTATAACACTATGTGTCATTAGAAACCATTGGGGGGCTAGCACAAATGGTAGTGCGTCAGACTCCAGATCTGAAGGTTGGGCGTTCGAGTCGCTCGTCCCTCATTATTAGTCAATTCGAAATAAAGCTGACATTGTTTTTGTCAGACATTATTTTGATGAATCCATAAAATCTTGTCATGCCCGAATTCTTGTTAGCCAATCAGGATGACGATTACACAGAATTCTCTTTTGAAAACAACAACCAGAGTGATTTCCTTTTGCTCACAAAAGAATTAGAAAGCACATAGCTTAACAAAAGTAGAATAGAAACTAAAACAGACATTTATAATGGCTGAGTAGGTTTAGAAAAGATATAAAAGAGGGTATTATTTCATTCAATAAAAGTTATCTATCTTTCTATCCTCTTTTTATTCTTTTATCTTCGTTTACGATTCCCAGTGGGTTTGATCAATTTTGGCTGTGTTATAGCATTAGAAGAACAACTCAGATCGAAAATGACAATCTGAAAATAGTTTGTGCGCTCGATCTGGTATTTCTTTTCTGACACTTGTAACTAAGTCGCAGAATCAATTCTACTGTGGATTGTCAAGTTTTAAGAATAGTTTTTTAGATAAGAATAAAGATGCTTTTTATTAATTATATTTCTTGACTATTTATACAAAATGATGTTTGATTTCTGGCTAAAAGAATAGCTACAATAATATGTCTTAGATGGTGGTTATCCAGTAATATTCCTACAAGTATATTTCTTATTTCCAACATCTAAAACATAGAAAAAAGACCTGTTGGCGAAGTCAAGATGTTTTATCCAAAAAAGTCAACTGTTACTGATTGCTTGTATCTTCTGATTTTGATTACCAATGTCAATTCTGACAGATTAATCACAGTATCTCTTTATGTGAAGTAACATTGTCAGAGTTAATATTGGTAATCAAAATTGGAATTTACAAGCAACCAGTAATGATTGACTTTTTTGGATAAAAGATCTTGACTTTGCCAATTGATCTTTCATATATGTTTTAGATGTTTAAGATAATAAATATACTTATAGAAGATATTACTGAACAATAAGCATTGTGGTGATCCAGACACTCAGATATTGAATTTATTACATATAAGAGCATATTCATATTGGGATAGTGTAGTAGCTATCATCTTGTCAGTATAAAATATATATAAATGATTAAGTAATCAAGCCAATAATAATTACAGCTAGTATTGTAAATAATATCTTAAAGATTGTTAAGATAATTATATTATACTGCTGGGTAAACTGTGTCAGAGCGATATGGAGCTAATTTAATAGGAAGTCCTAAAACTCTAGTATAAAAGAGAAAATAATAGTTAAGAGCTAAAGAAGTACAATTTATAACTTGATGTCATAATTATATCACTAACACTAATTAAGCAGTAAATACACTTTAATAACCAAATATAGTAAAGGAAGAAAGCCTTAAGAAACTAAGACGTAATGACAAGAGCATATTGTGTTTTTTTATAAAAAGAGACACATTTTATTTATGAATAAAGGACAACTTATATATAATATCAAAGTATTTTTATATGTCTCTATTATCAAATTTATTATTTTTCTATTGTTTCATATCTGAAATACTATATTTTTTACTTTGAATTCTAGAAATATCTCAACAATCTGCTGTCAACTCTGGTGTCATTCCTTCTCCTTCTGCTGCTAGTTCTGCTGACCACAATGATGATACCATGATGACTCCCTCAGGTTCTGAGGACGGTGCCTCTGATTCTGAAAAAGGTTCTTCTGGTTCTGATGATGGCTGTTCTAGTTATAAAGATGTCAATTCTCTTTGCATTCATTTGGATAACTCTGGAGTCAGAGTTAACAACAACCTTGTAGTCACAATGGAGATGTTGCTGGCTTCTGCTGAGAAGGACCTCAACACAAAGAAGAGCAACTACTACGCTGCTCTAGACCACTACTTGGGTGTTTCCAAGAGGGATCCCACCTCTACTGCTGCCAAGTCTGCTTCCAAGAGTGCCAGGAAAGTACAAGAACTGTTTGCTGAGGCTGAGCAAATCCTCAAGAACCTCAAGGCTTCCACTGCTCATGCTTCCAAGCCTCATGACAAGAAAAGCACTCTGGTTCTCAGTAATATACCTTTCCTGCAATTGCGTTCTGAGAATCTTCTGGTGAAGGCCAACCATGATGTGTTCAATTCAGTATATGACTTCTGCCAAGAGTTTACCACAGTCTTGGAAGCATACTCTCTGTCCTTAGATTCCTGCTAGGAACGTCTGTTGCCCACTTGTCTGAACAAGGAATAACAATTGTGGTTTGAGAACAAGCTCAAAGGCAAGGCCTACAACTGGAAGGAGACCAAAAGCATTCTTCTGGACCACTATGACATGCCATTTCACAAGTTCCTCAACATGGGTCGTGTCTGGTGCATGAAACAAGACAAGGATGAATCTGCTCGTTCTTTTGGCACCAAGTTCCAAAAGTTCTACTGCCAGGCCTTGTTGGATGATAGTGTTCAATTTGTTCTCTGCTTCTGGTGAAATCTGCGTCCAGAAGTCTGGAAAGCCTGCCTCATTCCTTTGTTTGCCAACTATAGCACCAAGATGCCCTCAAAGATTGAGGAAATAATCTTGTTGGTGAGTGTCTCCACCAGTGACTCTACTGCTCTTCTCCACAGCCCTACAAACATGTATGGTTCCTCTGCCTGGTGATCGTTTGCCACCAAGCATGGTTCTTCCTCCTTCTTGTCTGGGTCTCTCAAAGGCAAGAACAAGTCTTTTGCTGGGGAGAATAGTTCCAAGATCTACAAAAAGTCCTGGGATATCAAGAAGACCATGAAGAAAAACATCTGTTTCTTGTGCAAGGCGCCTGGTCAAAGGGACACTCCTGTCCAGAACGTGAAAAGTACTTGACTAAGGTGTCAAGGATGGCTGTCCGCTCCTCTGCTGGTAGACCAATAAGAGCTTCCACTGTGGTTGAGGGGAGTCCCTTGTTGTCTTGCTCAGAGTACCAAGACAACACTAGTGCTCTGACCAAGATAGTGATACATTGCATGTATACTCACATTTCTGGTTGGCCCAAACATATCCTATATCTCTAAATCTTTTCGTATCAATTATGTAAACCAATTGATTAAGTAATGATCTTGGGAAGAGTATGATTGTTACAACTGGTGTAGCAATCAACTGAAAATCATAAGGATTGTAACAATAAACCCCAACAATGACTATCTACCTCTATTTCTCTCTCTTTTTTTTTATGAAGCATAGTTCATCCCAACCTCTTAGTAATAGCTTACTAATTATACTATTTTATTTATTATTGAAATATCTATATAAACATCAAAAAATGAAAGCAATAAAAAACATCCTTATACATCACTTCTATTTTCTTTTTATTTTTCTCAGGAGAACAAGCTGCCAATTGCCAATATTAAGGCTAAGGAGTTGTTAGAGGAGATTGATACATATTTCTTTTTTCTATTAATTGTTTGGGTCACTTTTTTACACAAACCAACATAATCCGTCTCAATGACATTAGATTATAAGTATAATCTTAAAGACATGATTATTAAAAAAGATTTTAAGAACATGAGCACTGATATTACCCTTCCTATTTTGGCAAATAATTCTATTAGAACCATCTCTATATTGAACTGTAGGAGTCACGTTTAGTTTTGTGAACAAGAATTTTTGTTTGAAAAACAGAATAGCCATTAGTTATATCAATCACATTACTAAAGATTTGTTGAATAAAAACAATGTTCATAAGTGTTTTATTTGTTTGGCTGATAACAATATCCAGATTAAAAGAATTAGTACTTGTGTAATCAGTGTAACTTGCAATAGTAAGACTATTCAACGCAAGTTTAAAGTGATGAATTTAACTAATAGTCATGAGTATGATTTCAGTATTGATACTGATTATATGTCTTCTCTCAGTATTGGTATTTATGGTTTATCTTTATCATATGATAATGCTGATTCAAGTGAGAAACGTAAAGAAGCCAATAGATGTTTTAATAATAAGAGTGATCTTCTTGAATCCATTGAGAGAGAAAATGAACAAAAGGAAAATAATTAGGCTGTAAGTTCTGAACAGTTTGAGGATGCTATAGATTATATTTGTCTGTTCATTAAAGACAATCACAATATTCCTAAGGGTTCGTTTTGTACTATATCTGAAAGTGTTGTATGTTTGGATACTTCAGAAAATGCTACGATGTTCAGAAGCCCTTATCTCATTTCTTACAAGATGCAAGATGTAGTGGATAAACAGGTGAAAGAATAGCTGGACAACAATATAATTGAAAGAGCGTCTGCAAACACATAATGAAATACGTTTTTAACTGTTGTTAAGAAGACGAACGGTAAAGGAGAAATTACTGAATATTGTGTTTGTCATAATTCCAGATTAATTAATTGCCTGTTGGAGTCAATTGATCATATGCCTTTGCCACGATAAGTTTAAAATCTCAAAACTGGAAGCAGTCTTATATTTCCCGGACTCACTGAATTTTTTTTGGTTTGGCATTTTTTGTTTTTATTATTGTTTTTATTACTTCAGGTACATCTTTTCCTTCCTTTACACTTTCCCCTGTATTCAAAACCTTTGCACTCATAATGAGCAAATCCAACCACACCCAATTATCCATCAATGACATTAATGATGATCATATGATCTGAATTGCCCCAGATTACGAGATGGCCAATCCCAAAGTCACTGAGACTTTTGCTGATAAAGAGAAATTGACTGTTTGGTTTGAAAACTCGGCCAAGAGACATTCCAACTGGAATGTAACCAACACTCACTTTTCTCAGGCTACCAATACAATTAGTCCTAAAGATGTTGCATCAACTGTATACTTTGTCTGTGACTACCAAGGCTTTCTCAAGAAGGCCAAGGTTCAAGAAACGGCTGGAAAACTAAAAGCAAAGAGGGTTCACACTGAATCCATCAAGGACGGCTGCAAAGCCAAGATTATCAAGAAGACCTTGCATGATGGGAGTGTCCAGGTAGATTACCTGTGGCAGCATGCAACCCACCAGCCTGAAAAGGTTCAAGAGATGGTGCAGTCAAGACTCCCATCTGAGGTCAAGCAGTGGATTGTCTCCCATGTAGACAACAACATGGATTGGAAGGCAATCAAAACTTTGCTTCAAATCAACCCTCAGTGCTTGGATGAGGTAATAAATTTGTTTTCTTTTATCTTAATTACTAACTTGATTGTGTTATAATTCGAAGCAGGTATTGATATTGCCAGCTTCCCAATATCTCTTCGCATTAACTATTATGATGTTCAAAACGTCATCAATGTACATCTGAACAATCTTTCAAGAGGAAATGCTATTGACAAGACAAGCCTTGAGCAATGGATTGAGTTCTTGGAAAAAGAAAAGAACTACCTGGTTCACATTGTCTTCCATGAAGGTAATGAGTCATACCTTGTTTCGTGGATCTCTCCTTGGCAGAAGAAGATATATTATTTAATTTGATAATTATTTAAAGTATAATATTACTAACTGTTCAACAGATTCTCAAGTCAGCGGATGAGTAGTGCATTGACTCAACTCACAAGACCTGTAAATCTTTGGTAGATTCTAGCAAGCACTTGTATCTGTATATGATAGTTGTGAAGAGCAACGTTACCAACAAGGGTGTTCCTGTTTGCTTCTTTGTGACAAATGCAGAGTTTATTACAATCTTGTCGCAATGGCTTAATTGGGTTAAATCCAACTGTAGCCTGCATGTCAAGCGCGTGATGACCGGCTGCAGCCCAGTTGAGATCAGTGCCTTGGAGGAAGTCTTTGGCCAATCTTTCCAGATCCTTTTGTGCCACTGGCACATCAAGAGAGCATGGGAGATGCACATCAAAAAAGATGTAAATTATGTTAATATACTTATTCTTAAATATTACTAATAATTATTTATATTTAACTAATGTTGTAGATAAAAATTACTGGAGCCACCCACAAAAGCAAACGTGAACAGGATGCAGTTCGGGTGGCTTTCAACTTGCTGATGCATGCCAGAAGTAAGGAGGCATTTAACCAGCAATACAAGGAATTTGTTTCTAGATTTGCTGGACATGCCAAATTTGTGGCATATTTTGCCACACACTGGCATGCTAAGTGTGACCTTTGGTCAATGGCCTGGAGAGCAGTAAAGTTACTATAAATATTAATATATTGTTTATAAACTATTTCTTATTATTATTAAGATGCCAGATTCCACATGAACAATCTGATTGAATCCTACCATCACATCTTGAAAGCTTACTACTTGGGCAGATCAAGAAACTTCCGGGATAACCGGTTGGTTTACATGCTCTCCCAAGTAGTTGAGCATGACTATAGACAAGAGGGTCTCAAGATCATGTATGGGTTCAAACAGCTTGTTTTGACACACACTGAGAAGGCAAATAAAAAGAAGGCATATGATATTGCTCATTAAGATGCTCTTGGCATAGTTAAGATCATAGAAGACAATTTAATAATTAGATATAACTTTTTATATGTTAAATGTAATAATATTAATATTAGTTTTTATTTATTTATTTTAGGTCTACAAGTGTTGCTCCTTTACTGACAATTCTGTTTGGTACGAGCTCTTGGTCAAAGAGAAAGTACTGTCAGTCTGCTCTTGTCCAGACCCTAATCATTTGTGTAAGCATATATTTTTGGTCTGTAGAATGATGAGACTCCAATACTCTTTGACCAAAAAGCTTTCTATTGCTCAGAATCAAGAAGTTCAGGTAGTTGGCCAAAGTGAGGGGAGTGCTATGGCACAGAATAGACTGCGTGCTCTGGAGTTTGTTGAGAGATATAACAGCTTGATCAATAAGATTACTCAAGCTTTTAGTGAAAGAAATGCCGTGGTAAGAGATACTGCCTCTGGAATGGACATCACTAGCCAGATTTTGGAAGACTGTTTGTCTTCTTTGAAAGAATCTGGTGGTGCCCCCCAGCAGAAATATAGAAAACAATAAAAATATATATAGAAATAATAATAAAACTATTCAAAACATATTGAATCAATTGTCTTTCACTTATATCTTTTAATAAAAACATGGTATTAAATATAAAATAATTGGTTTTTTTAATAATCTTGAAAAAAAATACAAAGTGCTTTTTAATATTGTTTTTTTTGTTTGACCCAGATCTAATAAAGTTTGACTCTCTAGGTGACTGCTCTCAGTTTTGAGATTTTAAAGATTTTCCCTTTGACATTGATTGGTGAATTGTTTGAAGATTTAAAGGTGCAAATATTTACTCCACTCTGGATTTAAAATCTGTGTTTAATTCTTTGAGGTTGAACCCAAAGGACAGACACAAACTTAGTTTCACATGGCGTGATGTACAGTACAAACCTATTGGTACAGTGTTTGATATTAAGCATGTCAGTTCACAATTTCAAAGAACTATAAATATAGCATTAGAAAGACTATCTTTTGTACAGTTTTTCGTGAATGACATTGTTTGTGCAAGCAAAACGTTTGAGGAACACAAGGAACACTTGAAGCAAGTGATTGAGAGATTAACAAGGGTCAATTTGAAGTTGAATTCAAACAAATGTCATTTCTTTCGGAAAGAAATTTATTTGCTTGGTTTTTATATTTCACGTGAAGGAATTATGATGAACTACAGAAAACTTGTTAATATTTGTGAATTTCCTCAACCAAAGACAGGTAAAGATATCCAAAGTTATTGTGGGTTGGTCAACTATTTTAAAATGTTGATTCCAAATGTATCTTCCATTATTTTGCTACTAGATTCATTGAGAAATGAAAAGTCAATTACACATTTATGGACAGATAAGTATCAAACTGCATTCAATAACTTGAAAAAAGCACTTTTGAGTGATCTGGTGTTGTCGTACCCAGATATAAACTCTCCTTTTAGTATCAGCTGTGATGCATCTCTTACTGGTATTGGTACAGTGTTGTATCAAGTCAAAGATGGCAAGAAAAAGTATATTTCTTTTGTGGCTAAGAGCTTATCCCAAAGTGAAAGAAAATGTTCTGCAACCAAAAGAGAATTACTAGCGTTAGTATTTGTACTCGCACTATGGCTATAGGAGTGGCAACTGTGCCCAAAATAGGCACATAACTGTCACTTTTATGGTCAAAAGCCAATAATTTCTCCACAGTTTTTGGTAAGATGGCAATGTCATTAGCAACATTTTAAAAAAGTAGCATGAAATCTGTTTTTTTTGTTGCTGTACAATGTCTCGAATAGTCTAGAAAGTGTTTGTAAGTTGTAATGACCACTTTAAGTATTGAAATATATGTTTTATTTAATATTAAAGATGTCAAGTTTTATTCGGATTAATTTTTTATGGAATGTGTGAATGAAATGGAAACGTAACTGCCATTTTTTTTAAAACCAAGACTTTTTTTAAAAAAAGATATACCTCTCTTCTTGTTCACTTAACAATTTTATTTTAATTTAAATTGCGTAACAGCCTGTAGGACATGTAGAGAATTAAAAAAAAACATAGAGTATATAGAAAATAAAAAAAAATATAAGGTATATAAAAAAGAAAAATAGTAATATAGAATACATAGGACATATAGAGCATATAAAAAATAAAAAATAAAAAAAGTTATAAAATAGAAAGATTGCCCTTTGTAATGCACATATTATTGTTGAAAACATAATAAGATGCAATTAAGTAGAACTGATTTTTATTTAGTGGATATTGTATAAGGCCAACTTGATGATGAATATCATTGACACTTATTACTGTATATGTGGGTTGTGTTTGGCAACCTGTTGAGCTGTTTTGTGACCGCTGTTTGACAATTGGTACAGATGAGTCGTGGGCAGCCACGTCATATTCCTTCATTACTTCAACAAAAGCAAAGAAACTAAGAGAGCCAAGTGAATCCTCATGCTGGAAGAAGAATACCACCGCACCAACGAGCCAGTTGTAAACAATTATGTTACAGTTGCTAAAGTAAATAAACAAATATAATGTAAGCAACTTTTGATTTTATATTGAAAAATGATATACTTACTTTCTGTAAGAACAGGTAAACATCACGTAATGATTACCGCGGCTTCTTTTATTTCTTCTTTGTCAATACATGCAAGATGAATATAAGGTCAAATTCATCCATAAACGACTAGCAACAACAATCGTAGAATCACCAATATCAGAAATCATCAAACCCGAAGTTTGTTGATAGTATCTAGTTAAGATATCCTTCACCCTAGGGCTGCTTACACCTTCTATCAAATCATCGTTCAACTGAGCAAATTGATGAAATGGCTCCCATAACTGCGCACCACTAGGATCATTAGGAAGATCCATATAACTTTCTCTACCATACGGCTTGGGCTGAATAAGATCAATTTCGTTCTGGATACTGATGGCCGTGTTGACATAGTTATGCAATGTAAATCGCTCCACAAGAAAACTGGCATTATGGCCGTCCTTGCACTTAGACTTGATTAGTTTGGAAAAGACACCAATTACTCTCTCCATTGATTGAGTGGAGTAGCATCGAAGTAGATCTAGTTGGTTGACAATGAATGGTATATGCACAAGATAGTGCTGTACTGGTCTGAAGGCACTACGAGATATAGTCTTGTTCTGAACCTGTTGCGATAGATAGTGGTGCCAGTGTTTAAAATGTCTATTGCTGTTGTTATTATTATTTTAAAAAAAAGGTTGTGATTAGTTTTGTATATAGTGATATAGTGTTAGACGCATTATGACTTACACATCCATCTTATCCAGCAACTCTGAAGTCAACGTCCATTGCAATGCCAGTGCACAACCTTTGACAAGTGACAGCACCACAGTTTTCACAGCTCTGTTTGGCAAGAATGGAACAACAAGAGTGGGAACAATATACAAAAGAAAGTCAAGCCAATCAACAGCACGAGTACCATCAATCTTAGAAAAGATGTTATCAAAACTGCCTTGGAATTATACTGGTATATATGGTCTTGAACTTGTGATACAGTTTCCAATTGTCACAAGTCTAGTTCTTGGTATGAAGAATGGGTATTCTGTGGTGAAGAGGGTATCATCTGGACGGGTATAAAAAATTTTTGTCTCCTTGGTAAGGGACACAGTGATCAAGTTGTACATGTGCTTTCCAATTCCTCTTGCAACTAAATGAAGTTCATTCAGTGCGAAGAAGGAAGATCTGGAGAAGGTTGACAGCTCACTAAAGATGCTTGGTTGGTATATATTTTTTATCTATTATAAGCAATTATTTAGTATAAGAAAAAATCTAATTAAACTGTTATATACTTATAGGGTTGCCAGTTTTGAAGTCTTCCAAAGGTTGCAAAGGAGCAGAACTATCTTCAAAGTACATTCCGTACCGTCTGTTGTCTGGGGATTTTCCCTTTGTTTCGCAGATTTGGCAGCCAAACAAACTGGCATGTGAGCCAATGTGCACCATGTCAGCCACAGCTGGGATGTCACTAGAAGCAAGCAACAAGTGGATCTTGGCACGGCAAACCTCAACTCCATTGCTCTTGATCACCAAGCCATACACCTCAAGATCTTTTATTTCACTGATGATTGACATCAGAAAAGAGTCCAAGTGGGTAGGCTTCTTGTGGCCAGGCAATATTGCCAGCTGCAAGAGTTATTCTTTTGTGTATCTAAGCTTTTTATTAGTAACTTTTTTTTGAAATTAATATATTAATTGATTTATTACCTTATTGATGGGTCAAGGTTGAATACAACAGCATGAACAATGGTATACAAACTCTTGCCCTTTTTTTGGTTAACGAAACCATTGGTATACAACTCAATAGCAATATCGTTGGGATTTGAGAACAGGTCTTGCTGCACCAACTGCTTGTAACTGTTACTATCAAAAACATTGGTAAGCTGACCAGCTACAGATTTCCGGTTTGCCCTGTAATGGAGGAGTTCTCTTGTAGCTGGATCAGCCAGCATTTGAGAAAACATATCACTGGCTGACATGAGCTTCATACTGGCAGATGGTGTTTCACTTTGCTCTGGATCAGTCTTGTATCGCGGTTCGCCGCAATCAACACAAGATTCTTGATTGTCATTAATCCCATACAATTGGCAACCACTAAGACAGACATCATACTCATGGCCCTTGACACTTGACTTGGACTTAAGCAAAGCATTGATAGTTTTGCCGTGGCTGATCTTAGCCCCAAGTTCTAAAAAAAAAGGAACGAAATCACTACGTGTTAGAAATTTGGAATTAAAGTATAAGGTAACATAAATATTATATTTTACCCAACATAATTTCATCGTGATCTTGAATGATTGTATTAACAAATTGGACAGTATCTCTGTAAGCTGCTCTGGAAATTCTGTACTGAAGCATCAATTGAGAGAGATGAATACTCATCAACTCGGCTTTTCTAAAGGTATTGCTACTGATTCTGCTGCTATCATAAACATGAGCTTCACTCTCACTGTCCTCAAAACTACAGCCAAACTTATATGAAATGGTCTTATTGATCTCTATTGCGTTCATGGCATAATCTACAATGCATTATCAGATAAGTATTCAGATAAAGTAATGATATTATTACATTGATTATTATTACCTGAATCACTAATTAATTCACTGTCATCAATAGTACTGCTTCCATCATGTTGCATGTCAACATCATGCAAAATAAACTTATCAATGACAGCTACTGTTGTATGATTGCCTCTGTGGACTCTCTTATGATTTTGAAGCTGCTGATAATTATAAAAACGACAGGGCACACTGAGCACATTGATACCTTTGTGTAGATAATCTATCTCTCTGCTGATTGGTGTTAGAGGAAGACATATTGATTGTTTTGGTAAGTATTTAATAAATGATATTAAAGTGTAAAGAGGTTTTTGGTGATATTCTTGGAATGTAAAAGAGAGGTTTATATACTCTTTCTTTTGAGGCAAAATGTTTTTTTTTAAAACAAATTCTTATATTGATGATACAACAATAAAGACAATAATAACATTATTAGTTAAAACGCATCTCAATCAATAATGACGACAACTATGATATAAGTATATCTATCATAGTATTTACTTTAAAAGATCAATGCTTAACAATTAATTAACTTTATAGTATTTAAACATTGTGTTACTATTACATAATCTATCTTTACTGATGTCATTATTTTAATTGATAAAATATTCTGTTGCCAAAAATTAAAAAATAATGTTGTAGCAACCATATGTTTATAGTTAAATTGATTTATCTTTTTTTCAGAAAGTTAAACAAGTAAACATTATGAAATATATATATAATGGGAAGTACAGCTTTTATTTACTTTATCTTTCTTAAAAAATAATAATTCAAAAATGTCTGATATCAACACCACACTCATAAACTCTGTTAGAAAAATTGAAATTGATATTGCTGAAATAAAGCAAATGGTACGCATGCTTCAAGATCAGTTTAGCAAACAATTTGCCCCAACTGTAAGTACAAAAGACATTAGTACAATGCAACAAAACATTATTGAGCAAAGTGGTAAGACATATTTACTATATTCTAGTATATTCGCTTGCCTTATTAATATTATGGCATACAATTTCCTCTTTGGTAGCTCTTGAACGTGTTGCTGAGTCTGTAAAACGGTCTCAATTCACTGAGTATCCTGACCAGCTTGGAAAGCAAGTAATTGGCACAGGTGGCAATTTCAAAGGGAAAAACAAAGCCCAGAAATACAATTTGTTGTTGCAGTTGCTTCACAAACAGGACTGGAAAGCATGCTGCAAAGAAATTCCGGAAGGACAACCTCTGCCTCAACTAGTACTTCTTTCGGACAGCAATTTGACAATGAAGCAACTACAGCTTAAGACTTTGAGTCGTAGCATCAAGCATAACCTGATTGACAAGGACTTTCCTGCTTTCAGTAAAGAATGGAAAGGTATCCTGGCAAAGCACCAGGAGTATTACATGATGCAATTGGAGAGACTGGCAAAAGATAACGGCTTTGCTATTTTCAAATGCAAGAGCATGTGATGTGCAAAAAGCCTTCTCCGAGAAAGCTTCAAAAGTGACAACCAGAGGCAAAAAAGAAGAATGGTAGAGAAGAACAATGTAAGTTTATTAATCAAAAGATTTCATTCATATATTTTAATTAACATTTAAAAAAATCTGTAGACACAACAAGATGCAAATGATTTTTTATTGTCTTCTGATAATATGTCAGAAACAGATGGTGGCAAGTCATCTATTATGGTAGATGTGCTGTGAGTTGTCATGATTTCTACTGGTTTGGTACTGTTAATATGAAACTAATATAAAAGTTTTACTTTTTTAAAAAGGTCTCCTCTGGCAGAAATGAGTGTTGAGCTAGCACACAAGAGAAGCCAAAGATCATAGGAGGTTTTGATTGGTTCAAAATATTTTTTAGCATATTTTTAGTTCAGTTTTTATATTTTTTTCTTCTTCTCTCTTCCTTTCTCTTGTTTTTTTTACTTCCTTTCTCTTTAAATAAAAATGCGTTGCCCTTTTTTATGTGATTCGTATCTATATAGTCATCAGCATTTAAAAGTAATGTACAACATCTGCAGCATTGCTACAATTAATTTTTGAATGAAGCACAATAGATTCTTTTTTTAAAGAACAAAAAAAAACTAATAATACTCTTGTGTTGCTATGTTAAACTTGATAATTGTTATATTCTAAGTAAGTACTTTGATAGAATATACATCTTGTGTTTATAAAACAATGCTCATTCAGTTCTCAACTAGATTCAACTTGATTTTATATTGTATAACTCAAATTTTTTTTTTCAGGTTTTATTTGGTAATGATTTTGAGTGATACTCACTGCTTTTTTCACTTGTCTTGTAGATATACTAATACTTTTTAATAACATATGAAGCTTAAATTTTAATATTATTTTCTAATATATATATTTTTAGAGCAAAAAAAATTCTTTGAAGCTATTAAGCATATTACATAAAGGTAAGCACTATATTATTATGTCTATTTATTTATTTTCTCTCTGACATTAATATATTTATAGAAAATGGTAAGAATTAAAGAAGGTCATCTAGTCTATATCAAAGTACTCAAAACACATTAAATGCATTTAGGATAAAGGGTTTTTACTGCATACTCTGCAGTAGCCAAATAATATCATGTCTTTTTTGCAAGTTCCAATGGATGGGCTTTAAGTAGTATTACTATCATATAGTAAAACATAAATTAGAGATGTTTGTGGACTCAGATTTGTAGAGTTGCATAGAATATTAGCTAAAAAAAAGCTTTTTTTGAAACTCAAATTTTCAACTTGTATTGCCGTATTTAGCATATTTCTGTTATATAAAATTGTAGGACATTCATTTTAACTAAACGTACAAGCTGTCATTATCAGTTGTAACTTAATATTCAGTAACAAAAACATTACCGTTACTTGAAAGGGCAGCACCTTTCCCTTTTTCTTTAACAAAATCTTAAAATGTCTCGTTTTGATCCTATTATTGAACTAACGGATTGTTACATAAATCACAGCTCTCGGCGTATTGTTGAAGAACAAGAGCAAGGATGGGTATCTGTTCTTGAACAGCAAGAGGAACATGCAGATGTTTATGAAGATCAAGAGCCCACCAATAAAGAAATTCAAGAAGTACTTGCTCAATATGCCCAAGACCGTAAGCAGGAAGGGGAACACATAGCTGTCTTCTTGCATTGTCAAGGTTGCTTAGACCCAAGCATCTTGTCTGATGAAGATTCTAAACTTTTGTTTAGATTCACACAGTCTGAGATATTATTAAATCATTGCTTTTAAGAAAAAAAGTACTAATTTAATATATTTATAAAACCAGATATGCTCCTTGGCTACTCTTCTTGAAATGGGAGACATCGTCTACTTTTGAGAAGGCATTCCAAGTGAATTTTCTCTACCAATGACACTGGCTCTGATGATTGTGCTTCGCAGAATGGTTTTCTCTGCTTGCTTAGTAGATTTATCTCTGCTCTTTGGAAAGAGAAAGTCTACTCTCAGTGTCATCTTCAATGAAATGATAGAAAAGATTTATATTAAGTTCTATCCAGCCTTGAAGTTTGACTACTGTCAATTCTGGGAATCAAATCTGATGTGCTTCAGCTGAGCCATTAGAGAAAGATGTAAATAACACTTGCAAAATATAATATTAGTTTAATAGTACTTACGTTTTATATATTATTTGGATAAAAGCACCGGCAATGTACTGTGTTGGGTTTATTGATGGAACCTTCAGCAAGATAGCAAGGCCCATTGTTGATCAAGAGGGGGCATACAATGGCCATTACATGAGTGAAAGATTGGATATATAGATCTGACACATATCTTTACTCAATTTATATACTATTTATAGCAAGGACATGGTTTGAAGTACCAAGCAGTGGTAACACTCAATAGTATTACTTCATTCATTATGAAGCCAGACAGTGGTAGGAATCATGACGTGTGCATGTACCACAAAAGTCAATTGGATGTCATGCTGTGCGTAGCATTTGACTTTACAAACATAAATAGTCCATGCTATTACTTGTATGGTGACCTGACATATACCGTATCAGATCATATAATGATCCCTTTCAGAAGACGTAAGTATTATACAGTTATCTATCTTGACGGTAAAGTCTTATGGTTTGCATATTGTCTGTTTTAGAAATGGCTGATGAGCAAGAACTTGCTATCAACAAAAGTATGTCTGCTGTGTGAATTTCCGTAGAGCACAAGTTTGCTCATGTCGGGAGTCTGTGGGCTTTCTTAAAGTACTCACAGACCCAAAGAAGTGGTCAGTCCCCAGTAGGACTATATTATATTGTTGGAACGTTCTTGAAGAACCTCCATGTGTATTAGAATAGAGGAAACCAGACAAGCAAAAAGTATGGTGTTGCTCCTCCTACACCAGAGCAGTATATTTATGGATTATTAAACCAATAATATTTTCTTACTCCAAACTATCTGTAATGTGAAGAAATTTGATAACTATTATAATATGTTTTACGTATATATATTTTTATTGTTTTTTAAGACCTTAAAGCAGGTATCTCTGCATATTGTACTTGAAACGAGCCTGTCTCTCCTCTAGCAGAGTCTGTCTCTGCTCCAGTGTTCTCTGCCTTGTCTCAATAGCCAGACATCCTCTTTCGACATTTTCCTCCAACCTGCGCATTGAGGTAAGTACCTCACCATCGCTTATTCCAGCCACCATACTGAACAATTCATCCTGAAAGGACTTCAACATTTCTCTGGCATCAGAAAAGTCGGTTATCAATTGACTGACTAAATGTCCAGAAGAACTGCCCTCTACTTTATCTGTCCATTTCTTTTGTTCAACAACTCTCAATGGATTGTTGGACTTCAATAAAGTTGCACTGCAAAAGGAGGGCCAATTCAGTATACTAAATCTTGACCAAATACTGTCTGAATGAATAAAATTCAGCATGAATTCGATCGGAATTTATGATGCCAATTTTTTAAAATTCGTGAGCTAAATGAATACAATTAGTATACTGAATTTTAGGAATGCAAAAAGAAAAAGTGTGATATACTTTTATGTGATATATTTTGGTCGTGAAAATATAGACGCACTTTTATCAGACCGCAGATTTTTCATTTTATATTGGTTTTGGGGTTTTTTTTTAAATACAGCACATAACATTCAACATCTTTTTATTACTATATATGGGTTGTTAAAGAAGAGATTTGGTCAAGATTTGATCAAGATTTAGTCAAGATTTAGAGGTTTATGGGTCATTTTAAAGGTTTTTATTGGTTTGAAAAAATTTTCTTATTGTTTCTAGCTGTTTCTATTCGTCTACATCACTAATCGTCTTCTGTTGCAATTGGGTAGAAACATCACACTCGATGCCATCATTTATTTTAGTGGATACTATGTTATTCCTTTCGAACATCCATTGGTCTACCCCTGGTGCAATCGACCCCTACTGTATTCCATTGCTTGCTGCGGCACGCCTTCTTGGCCTGTTTGTTTACTTTTATAAAAAATAATTATAGGGTGGATTAGAAAGAATGTTCTAGGTATATTTATTTGAGAGCAACAGATTATTTAAAAAATATGAATGTACTTACAATAAAGTTAAACACGAGAACAGATGGATGTCTTTAACATAAAGATAGATATATCAACGTTTTAGTTAAATGTCTCAATTATAGTAATATTGTCTATAAAAATAATAACTTTTGTTAATACGATGCAAAGTAAATAAGACTATGGTTTGCTTACCAGACAGTTCAGAAAACAGAAGAGTTGACAAACACAAAATACAATGACATTGTCTATAAAATATAATCTTTTATTAGAATGAAATAAAGAGTATCAGACTATTTTTTGCTTACCAATTATTCAATACAATAGAAGAGGCAGCATGCGGGAAATGGAGATATTATCTATAAAATAATTTCTTTTCATTAGAATTACATACAAAGAAGCAGAATGATTATTTACTTACTTGTCTGTCTGTAGAGAATAAGAGTCGGTGTATAATCAAAAAAAGAGGACCGAGATAAAGACCAGTGACTATAAAGTGTATGGTATACATAAGAAAAATAATAAATACAAGTTGTATCTTGAAGGTGTATGTTAATATTTATACAACATACCATTTTGTAAACCCTCCCAAGGTATATGTCTTTGTTAACGGGCCAGAAAAATCTAAGCAGAATAATTAATACATAAATCATGAATAAATATTCAAGTATATTTTTATTACCTTTTTATCATTATTTTTGAGGCAGTTAAGAAGGACTTGGTGGTTTAAAGCATAGTGTATCATGCTAGAATAAAAACAACAAGATGATTAAGTCTTGAAACTTTGATGTGAGTTGATGCTTACCATGTTAGACATTAAGAAAGAAGAAAGAAAAAATTAAAAAAAAAAACGGGGGAAAATCAAAATTATAATTTTATGACTGTTGACCCTGAGAAACTGATAGAATCAATGGAGCAAATTGAAAGTCATTCAACCCATCCCGATTGAGACAAGACATTATGTACTAAACCATAATCTCTCACATCTTTGTAATGGATGTAAGCTATTACAAATGCCTTTCCAAGTCGGCTTATAAAGAAAAGTATAATATAGAAAGCAAAATGCTATAAAGAGCATCATCAGAAAAATAATCTTTTGGTGCCTTACTTTCCACCTTTACGTATGTTTTGATTTATTTTATTATTTTAAAGAAACCCGACTCTAATTATTAAAGTATTCACATTGTTTCCATTTCTTTCATTAGCCTTAAATATCTCAATTCATGTCTTCTAATACGCAGCAATCCAAAAAAACGAAAAAGACGACTACAAAAAAGTCTGTTCAACAAACCACTGGGACAGCAGCAAGCACAAGACAACGGGAAATTCTTCCCAGCTTGACAGTTAGCGCAGAGCTAGATGGTACTGTCCTGTCCACTTTGTCCACCATGAGCACCCGACTGAATGAATCTCATTCACTTCTGGAGAAGGTCTACCACAACATGGGAGTAACCAATGGCCAGAATAACAATTCGAACCATAGTCCCATTGGTCAGGCTCTTACTACAGGAGAATATATAAAGTACTGCCTTCCAACGGTTTCGGTAGGATATATACTAGTAATAGAATATTGCAAAGTTACTTACATTATATTTTGCAGAGATTGATCCATTCTCAAACACGAGCAGTTCTGGCAACAATGCCATTGACAGTCAATGAGGGCGCCTTCTCGACATCCAACCGTCCCATTGCTGATGTAGTGCAGAGCTACACACATCAGCAAGCTGAAGTAAAGTCTGTTTCGTCTGCAGTTGTGGAAGAGAAAACCCGAAGACATATTTCGTATATGCTTCAAAGGGCAAAAGCTTTGCCAGAAAAGATAGCTCAACAAAATCGGATTTCTTGACGCCGGTCCAGAAAGAGAAATGTAAGTATAGTCAACAGTTTTTGTGTAAACTATTTTAACTTTTTTTTTCAGATTCTTACAGACTACAAGGCAATTCACTTAGCTGACAAGGCAAACCTTGAGTCTAAGTTTGGTGAGACTGTCGTTGACCTTCTGGACTATGACATGTTGTCTGATATTGAGTCAGATGAGGAGAAAAATAAAACTAGATATACTCCTAGAAATAGACATCTCTTGGTAAGGCTCTCATGATAAAGGTTATTTTTTTTAATACTTCTAACTCAAAAGTATTTATATTATAATGCAGGTGGATGAATACTTTACTGTTTTGAAGAAACAGAGACTTGCTAACAAGGGACCAGACGTCATTGGCAATTCTGTCTATCCAATTATTTTGAGAAACACTGAGTTATCGAATGAGAAAAAGGCACGTGTTGCTGCTTGGATTCACACACGCCAACAATAAATCGTTATTTTGTTTACAAAGTGCATATAGTACTTTAATGATTTTTATTGATTGTGTTGAATGATGTGGGGTGAAGTGGTAAAATATAATCAGGCGGTATTGTCAAGATGAGAAGCAATTAATATATAAATAAAAGGAAAAAGAAAAAGACAAAATCAAAAATCAAAATAATAAATTATTATTTTATTTTATTTTATTTTATTTTATTTTATTTTATTTTATTTTATTTTAAAGCCAATTAATAAAAAAAATATATATACAAAGCAATTATTTAATTATATAACCCTGATTGTTTTATCCTCGTTTTTTTTTATTGGAAATTATAATACCGATATTAGCAAGAATATGTAATAAAGGCAAAGAAAATGGTAAATGTCAGGTATTAAATATACAAGTTTTTTGTCTTTTATATTATTGATAAAAGCAAGAGAAATAAATAATAGTTTTTACTATTTGTTAATAGTTAAAAAAAACTGGTAATATAATTTACTATTGCTCTTTTAAATACTTAATAAAGAAGTAATGTTAAAACTAAATAAGAATACAGAGATAAATAAAGCTAAACCTTTTTACAGTCAAAAAAACTTGTATTATAATTATTTATACTGGTAACCTAAATAGTTGTTATTTTTTTATGTGACTACTTTTCTAGGCAGTGGAATAACCAGGTGCTTTTGCGTCCCACTCTGCATTTTATGCGTAGTCAACACAAAGCACAAATGCAGACGATGCACTGGAACAATGCACGAAGCATCTTCTTCCATAAATCCCTTGTCCCACAACTGCAGACCTTGATCAGCTAATGGCTGATGACTACTTGAATGGTAGGCAGGAAACCATTTAATGAATGCGAACGTTGACACTCTTTTGACTCCACCGATCTTGATGGTATGAGTAAATAAATACTCTATTTGACCAGGGAATTCAGATACATCGTCATTTGTTCTCTCAAGAAACAATACCCTCACAAAAGACCCGCACTTCTTCTTTTCACCACTGCAGTACTCTTGCCCCAGCAACGAAATCTTCTTCACCTTTTGAATCCGATTGTTCACAAATACATCCTCACCAATTGGGATTCTCCCTACCACACAGAAGGAAACACTTGTACTCCGGTAAGCCTTGACATAGAATTCAAATAACCACTGATAGTGATCATCCTTCATCATAGTCAAAGGCTGCAACTTGATTGGCAATGTGGTCGGGGGCAAGGCCTCACTTCCGGTGACATTGTACCATGGATTTGTAGCAGCTTGCTGGAACATTGCTAAGCTAAATGGCAACGCAGGAGGGTGGCCAGCATCCAAATTCAAGGGAGAAGAGCTGTCGGAATTTGATTTTACTTGGGCAATCCCCTCAAGGAACTCTATCAGTGGTGATGAAAGATTGGTAGAATACGCTCGAAGAAAGCTACCAATGAATGCTTTCTCCAGGAAGACTCTCATGAAGGTGACCTCAAGACCATTGCGATGGTTCGTCTTGATGTTCTTCAACTTGCCGTTGTATCTCTCGAAGCTATACAGCCAGAATGCATATACCGGACCAAAATTAAGCATTGACTCGCGCAAGTGCATATGCAAGTGCATATTTGGCGTGATGCTGCTCTCTCCATAAAGAGTCTCCCACTCTTTTCCGAATTCTCTAAGGAGCTGGTGTGCGCTGTCAATTTCTGAATATGTGACTGAAGGACCGGTCAACTTTTGGCATGTTTTTACAAAGAGAGTCCAGTTTTTGTAGTCGTCTTCAGGCAAAGCGTCTTTTAGTACCACCAACGAATAAATCAGACACCACGATCGCCACTCGTCTGCCTTTGTATACGGGAAACCAGATTCGATCTTTGTTGATAAAACAGCATACCCAGGAGGAACAAGAATACCATCGGCAAGACGTTGCATACGGACGAGAACAGCAGTTGAGAGATACCTCAGGTCTTTCCAAACACTGATCATATGCTTTGCTGTCCCAAGAAACAAATTGTGCATGGGATCAACAATCGTGCATCGGATGGGATCAAAGTAGTGTAGGCGATGCAACTTGGAAAAACTGGTGCCATGCTGCTTCTCCAAAACAGCTCTCTCTGCATCAGATTCTGCGCAGAACCACATCTCAGCTTCGGTTGCATTTTCCTCTTTTGTTCGGGAGACCCAGTTCTCATGATCGAATCCAGAATAATTGATCTTACTTGTTCCAGCAACAACAGTGAAATGACGCTTGCATATGTGACAGGCATTTGTACTTGCAAATCCTGTAAATCCAGCAGTCTTTCTTGCAGCAGGTATGTCGCAAGCAACACACATAAGAGCAGCGCGGATACTAGTACCATTGGGGAACTCTGGAGTTTTCATAGTTATGCTGCCATATAACTCTACCAGCTCGTCTACCAGAGGTTCCAAGAAGTTGTTCATCTGGTCGATCTTTGCTTCCTTTGGACCAGGCATGACACCGACAAGGATAATGTTTTCCGGCTTCATTCTTTCTTCCCTAGGCAGGTTGTTCATTGACAGGTACAAGGCCCCACTTGCATGTGTACGACCCTCGAATGGTTGAAACCAATCCACATTCAATGTCAACATCAAAGAATGGTCGGGATTCACGAAAGGCTCGTCATCTTCATCAAGGAGCTCAGACCACATTGCACCATCATAGACATCCAACAAGGTACTGTTTACGGTTTCCCTTGATCTCCATTGAACGATTTGATGCTCGAACCCAGGTTTGGCAAAATGCTGTGCCAATGCATTCTTGAGTGAGTTGTATGGAAAAACCATGAGAGGGACGGCGCGATCAGCTTCGGTGTCAGAGAAAAGAGGATTTCCGCAGTATGTTGGTGGTGTGGTTGTGTATTTTTCGAATGTGCAATTTGGTTGGCAATTGCCTGGTAGGTAAATTGCAAAGCACTTGTTGCAGACGGTGTATTTGACGATGCTTTTTGTCATGAAATTGAAGTCGGTCATAGTCTTTAATGCATCAATGGTGAGTGGGAGATCGGTATCCTTATCAAAGGCAACAAGAAGATGGCAGAAGAATTTCAACATAGCAGTTCCACCTGCTTGAACCAAGTAAAACGCCTGAAAGATAACGCCAAATAGAGCCATGAATTGGCTTGTTTGAGACATTTCATGAATTTTCAAAGAAGCAACTACAAAGGCAAGTATTTCTGTTAATTATTTGTAACACAATTTATGTATATTTCTTTTTTAAATGTATGCATACCGGAAGCAACCATGTCTTCAAAATCTTCAACACCGGCAACCTCAACTTCGCTCTCATCTTCAGACTCATCGCTTGAATCAGGATCGTCATTGTCAGAAGCCAATGATATTGTCTCGACATCAGACTCTTCGAATTGAAAAATCTCGTCTTCTCTCAAAAAAGGTACACTCTGTACGGTAGTTTCGGCTGATACAATAGAATAATTGTCTTCATCTATAGTAAAACCAGACTATTAGCTATCTAAATTATGATTTATTAAAAAGAAATTTTATACTCACAATCAATCGATGTTTCAGATATATCTACCATCTCAACGTCTGTCTCTTCTTCGACAACTTCTGTATTAACTGATAATTAACAAAAAAAATATTAGATTACAATTTATCCAGTAATACGCGTACTACTCAAATGTCATTTACCTCGATTTTTTGGGCCAATGTCTAATAGCTTATCAGCATTATTATGACGCTTAAAGGTCTGTGCATTTTGCAAAATTCCGCCAATTGCATTTTTGGTACATGATGAACATGTACACATAACAGTGTAGGTTTTAGTTGTAGAATTCATAACAGTAAGAATAATATTAATAATAATAAAATAATAAAGAGGTATATACTATATTTTATTTTCATCTTTTATATGTCTCTTATTTTTGTCATTAATAATGAGTTGATATATCTTGTTCACTATGTCATTGACTACATTGAGCTTACCGTCCCTATTAGTAAGAATTACAAATGGATTTTGATGCAGCGATCTTTTCTTAAAAAAAGTGTACCTGATTATTAATGGGGCTTCAATTTAATAATCACTGATATAATGGCGTAGTTTTTCTCTTTCGCGTTTTTTTAACATGACATCAATTCTCGCTCATTTTGGCAAGTGGCCTTTTTTGGATTTTCTTTTTCTTGTATTTTTTATGACATCAATTCTTGCTCTTTTTTTCAATTTTTTTTGATATACTTTCTTATTAAAAATAAGTCATATATCATACATTATTATATTCTAATAAAATTCGGTATTTTTTGCGATGCAATAAAAATATTATTGAGTCTAAATTAGGTGCATCTGTAACAACAAGTTTTTCCTTCCAGAAAAATAATTAAATACTATATTTAACATTTAATATTTTATTTTTATTTTTTATTTTTCTGCCAAGTCAATCGAAACATATATTTTTTAAGACAATTGTGCAATTTATTGCCTAATTAATAAATATTTGTGTTTGTATCTGTGTTTATTTAATATAATCAGAAAAAATTGCGAATTCCCATCTCAAGAAAAAAATATATTGAAAAATGATGGTGTTTGAAATATTTTTCCAAATTTTGCCAAAATTCAAAAAATAAAATTCGACCAAATCCACCCTCCTTTTGCAGTGTAATTACTCTCTCCACGACTTTATCTGCAGCTGCCTACTTCTGAACTTCTTCCTCGAAAGCCAATTGCTTTTTCATAGTCTTGCCCCGATCTCCTTCAGTCTCCTTTAAAAACTTATAGTATTAAACACATTGATATTCGACGAATATACCTAATACAACGTGAAGATTACCGATTCAACAAGCTGAAAGAGAAGCTGATTGAGATCAGAGTAGCTCTTGTTTGACCCTGTCATTTTTTGTTCTTGGGCCTGTCTTGCTTTGAACTGCTTGACCAGATTCTTGTGTCTCTGCTTGAGTGTTGAGACACCAATTTTGTTGCCTTTACCTCCGGCATCATTGATCTTTTTGAGGATTTCATCCCAGGCAGCACCCGATTGCCCATGACCAGCATATGAGAGGTGTTGGTTGATCAACAATTCCACAAGGAGTCTGTCTCTTTCGGCGATCAGATTTATCTTGTGATTAAATCTGATGGGAGCGTCTGCAGCAAAAGTATTCATATGTGCGTTCATATTTAAAATCAAGTGAAGGAAAAGTGATAAAAACACATATTATGATAGTAGAATGTTTATAAAATTAAAATTAAAAGTGACTTTTTTTGGTGTTATAATTATTAGCTTGCCATTAGTTTAGAGCAGAAAATAAACAAATATGAGAGGCTATCAATTTAAATAAGGTTTGGTAGAAAATCTACCAAACTTTAATCAAGTTGATAAAGTAGTGTCTCTATATAGATGTGTATGTAACATCATGTTTCCATTCTAAGGCAATAAGCTTGTGCAAAAAGTTAAAAATCTGAGTCTACAAACATCTCTATTGAAGCAAAATCTTATTCAATTCAATTCATTCCAATTCATTTTAATTCAATTCAATAAATGATTCATTTAATATGGCAAATAAAAAGCAAAATAATATACTAGTATTGGATACAGTAGAGTAAAAAAAAGGGGGGCGTGAAAGAAAACCAAAAATAAAAAAAACTAAAAAAGAAAAGTAATAAATCTTGGTCTTTTAAAAAGAAGTGGCAACTGTACCTCTAATTGCACTATACAGACTCATATCTGCCATTTTTTATTATGTAAAAAATGGCAGTTATGCTATCAAAATAGTAACATGTTGCCACTTTTTTAGCTATAGTGAAGAGAATTGCTAAGATAATTTTAAAATAAAAAATAGTCAATCTTTCATGAAGACTTGACAAAGAAAAATAATAAATAGAAGAAAAATTCATAAGAGAGATCAGAGAAAATAGATAGTGTCTTTAGAAAAAAAATTTATATTAAAAAAATTCAACAATTGTTTATTGATTGATTTTGAAGGGTTATTTATACTACTTCTTAAATAAAATTTATAGCAAAAATAGGCTATATAAAACTTGATAAGATAATTGTAAAGAAAAATATAAAGAAAAATAACTATATAAATATTTTGTCATAAAAGAAAAAATAAATGAAACTATAATATATAGCTACAAGAAAAGAAAAATATAGGAAAGAAGTATGTTATAAATAAAAGAAAAAATCATTCAGTTAACAATTTTGATAAAGTAGTATTTAAGAGAAAACATTATATTTAGTATAAAGAAATAAAATAAAAAGAAAAGGAAGAAAACAATTTTGGGAAAAATAAAGAGAAAAGATTTTAATTTTCAGAAAATCGGTTTTTGGAAAAAGGCGATATTGTGAATATGAAAGAAATGTGGTGATCCAGACACTTGGATGTTGGATTTATCACATATAAGAACATATTCATATTGGGATAGCGTAGTAGCTATCATCTTGTCAGTATAAAATATATATAAACGATTAAGTAATCAGCCCAATAATTATTACAGTTAGTACTATAGATAATATCTTAAAGATTGTTAACATAATTATATCATACTGCCGGGTAAACTGTGTCAGATTGATATGGAGCTAATTTAGTAGGAAGTCCTAAAGTTCTAGTGTAAAAGAGAAAAGAATAGCTAAGAGCTAAAGAAGTACAATTTATGACTTGATGTCATAATTGTAACACCAACACTAGTTAAGCAGTAAATACACTCTAATAACCAAATATAGTAAAGAAAGAAAGCCTTAAGAAACTAAGACGTAATGACAAGAGCAGATTGTGTTTTCTTATAAAAAGGGACACTTTTTATTTATGAATAAAGACAACTTATATACAGTCTCAAAGTATTTCTATACGTCTCTATTATCAAATATTTTATTTTTCTATTGTTTTGTACCTGAAATACCACAAGAAAGAAAGTAAAATTTTGAAGAAAAATTAAAAAGGGTTTGCAAAAGAATGTCTGAACATGGTAGAATACGGGTTTTAAAATGCGGCCGTCAAGATTAGTTAATTTAATGTAAAATCAAACATGCTTCCTTAGCGCAGTTGGCAGCGCGTTAGTCTCATAATCTGAAGGTCGCCAGTTCGATCCTGGCAGGGAGCATTATCTTTTGTTTTTTGTTTGTCAGAGTTGACATTGCCGATTGGTCTCTTGCACTACGGGAAAAAATGGCGGTTTTTTGCTTTTGTGACTATGTTTTCGGCCTATAATAATTAAAAAATCACTAAAAATCCAATTTGAAACTAGAAAATCTCTGTTTTTTGAAGGTTGACAAAAAGCAAATTGAGCACCTAAAATTAAATCTCCTGATAGACAAAAGTAAGCTTTAACTACAGACTTTACATTTTTAGTAAATGTAGATTGCATTTGATGACTATTAAAAGTCAGAAGAAAAAGAGAAGAAAATATCTAAACTTTCTGCTGAGAAAATAAAATATGTTAAGACAATTTGAAAAAAAAAATGTATTACAAAAAAAAAACAAATTATAGGTCTGCAAGAGAACCAAGTGACAATTTTGGGCCGCGGTTAAGCTCTGGCCACACTATGTATGTTGTTGTTGTTGTTGTATTTATAGTTGCGTCCGACTTCACCAAACCAACCAATTCTTTGACATCTGCCAGGTGAACTACCTTTGGCTTCATTTGCCCATTGTTAACAACTGGTATACCATTTACCAAACGGACTGCTGCAATCTCTACAAGAGCAAGCGGCCATCTCTTGTTGTTGAGCTTGTGCTCAAAGAAGACAACAACTTTTCCGAAGAAATCCTTGTAAACCGGGGAGTATGCAGAATTTATGTTGCGGTTTTCATCAACCTGAATCTGTAATCTGATGTTATGTGCCTCCCTTACACAATTTTGGTCGAGTGCAGAGTCAATCACACAACCATTGACAAATGCCTTGCGGCTAGTTTGTATAGCTGCTTCAATCATACTACACTCTTCCCCCTTTGATTTGTAGAAGTCTTCAAGAAGTTTCGAAAGACAAGAAATGCCTTCAAAACTATCTCGGATCGTTCTATTCCTCAAAGGCCCCCAGAACTCAATATCAGACCCAGCACCAACACGCTCACCCTCATCTGTCAACGGCCAACCAGCAGTGGAATCTTCATATTGTAAGTGTCGTGCTGTTCTTGCTTCTATAATCATGACAGTGGCTCCGGCCTCTGCTTGTCATATTTGTGCTAAGCCAAGCATGATATTGCCAGTGTTAACATTTATAGCAGAATTACTCTTGATAGCCCTTGAGTATTCACCGATTGCCCGTTCCACGGATCTGGCGCTATATGCACGAGGTGGGCCGTATGCGTCAATCATGAGAGGATAGTGCTGAAGAAGATGCTGGTTTATAGTGAAAATATTGATTTTGATTTTTCCACTTGTAAGCAGCGATTCCAGGTACATGTTCCATATTTCAAGTTTACTGAAGAAAAATAGTTAGAATAAATAATAGAATAACACATAGCTTTTACTAAAATATACCTTTTGATAGAGGTTTGTTCCTCTGCTGATAACTCCCAGCTCATTAGTAGGTTACATGCTTGAACCAAGCCAAGTAACGCGTTCTGGGCAGTTGCATCTCCAATATGCTCTGCCACCAGCATAGGGATGACGAACAGAAGAAAGTCTGCCCAATCGACGGCCTTGAACGACCCAGGGTTCTTGTATACATCCCTTCAATCGCCATGGAAGGATGTAGGGATGGTATTTCTTGTTTTGTACATTGCTGTACCGATCTCCTTCCGAACACCAGAAGAAAGAGCAAAACAATGGTCTGTTCCATAGGTACCAGAAACCAAACCCCAGATCTGCTTGCTTATTCCATGGCAAAGTCCATGCATCTCATCGAGGGCAAAAAACAATGGTCCAGAGAATACCTTCAATGTTGCCAGGGGGGATTGTCCGTTTAACCCTTTGCGGCTGGATGCACTGGCCTGGGAAAAATTCTGGAAACTTTCCAGCGTACGGATATTGGTGCTGGGCAAAGTTCTGAAGTATTGTCCGTGCTTGGGACATTGGCCGACAACATGACAGATACGGCAACCATCTTTGCTCATATGTCCAGAATGACATGCCAACTTTGCTAAGGTGGGAATGTCACCAGTGACCATTAAGACATGTACCTTGGCACAAATGGTCTCGTTTGGTGTCTTGACGACCATCCCTTCACTCTCCAACACCAGGAGCTCTTTCATCGTTGGTTCCATGAACGACCAGAAATTGGCAGGTGCACCTGGACCTGGGATCATTGCGATCTGGAGCATTCTGCTTCTCTCATACCGGACCATGCACTGGAAAAATAACAATAAATACACACCGGGAAATTCAGGCATACTATTGTGAATATTCCGCATTTTACAGTGGGGTTTTGCCTATTTCCACTGGTACCAAAGCTGATCTGGTTACATGTGCACAGACCTGCTATCTACAAGTGTAAAGTTCGATAGCACTAGTGAAGTTGGGGTCAATAGTAATTTTATATCTTTGTATATAATAGAGTACCAAGAAAACTTTATTTCAAACTTTGTTTTTTTGCTGTAATACAATCTGTTTCCATGTTAAAGGTTAATAATCAGGGACTACGTCGCATGTGTATTGTTGAACTATCCCTGGGTGAATAGTTAGAACCATGGACATTTTATTGCTTATAAGCCAATCATTAACACTCTTTATTATGAGGTCATAGATTATCTGCTCCCCCAATTACTTGATATTCAATTATTATTGGTTTGAATTATAGTTTATTTTTGTATTTATTAGAAAAAATAGAATGATTCTAGGTTGATAGTATTGGAATAATATTATATGCCTCGGGCCGTCTTCACCGGTATCCTTCATATGACTCAAATCAAGCAGTGCTTTATATATAATGTTTGTAAACCCTCATATTCAGTAGTTATCTTTGGCACAGATACTATTTAACATAATAGAAGAGAAGTTAGATGTGTATTTAAATATTTACATGTTGTGAGTGATATATTAATTTGAGGATACATACAATATAATGACTGAAGAAGATAAAAATAAAACTTTGAGAGTTCGAGGCATGGCGTCAAGTATAATTTCTTTAACAATGAAAATAATATAGAGAAGTTAGTTTGAGTGAATTGGGTGACAGAATATGTAATGAACGTACCCAAAGAAAGTCAATTTATTTGTAGACCTAGATAGTACTTGTCAAGAGTTGATATAACCTTTAGTAAAAAACATATATTAATATACAGTATAAATAATACTATCATACATATTAAGAGAATAAAAGAAGAAGTCTTACCATGTCAATGATGGCGCCAAGAGATAGAGGTTCTTGATTCATTGCGTGTTTGGCAGATGAACATTCATCTGTAATAAAAATTATATTCTGTCAGATACATATTAAAAGTAAATAAAAAATAAAATATTACCGTGTTGATGGTCTTGTTTAATTGTAGGGAATATTTTTGGCGATATTGTCTATAAAAAAGAAGGAGAAAAGTCAGAATAATTTTATATGATGATGACATGAAGTATAGTTACTAACCTGGACTAATCCGGATGGCCATTGTAAAGAGAATACATCAGAAGGAAAAAACACGCTAGTATCTATGACAACTGAAATAATAATTATTATTTAGTTATATTTGAAGAAAAGAATTGCTTTAAAAAAAAAAGAAGATATGTTACCAAAAAAGTTTGCGAATATAGTAAAACACTAAGAGAGTATATATGTATCTATGACAACAGAATGTGTTAATCTTGTTGTTGTCTGTACAGAAGTATTTTTAAGAAGAATGTATCTTACCAGTAAAATTCACAGTTATAACAAAAATCAGAAAGAGAAAGAAAAGAAAAGAAAATGGTCGATAAGGAAAAATATGGAAAAATAAAAAAAATAAGTAAATAAAATACAAAAAACAAAATAGGTAATTAAAAAAAATGAAACTCAAAAAAAATATCCAAAAAGCATAATAGATATAATGGTGTAGTATCTAAAAGCAATCTTTGTATCAATTTACACAGTGTGTGTACAAGAAGTTACTTTAGATATATTTTTTTAACCAAGATCAATCAAGACTAGACATCCTTTTTTTTTGGAAATATAAATATACGTTTTTGCTACAATCTTACTCACTCTTGCTCACGCACTCTTACAATTATTCTTACTTATACTCACACTTTCTCTCTCTATCTCCCCATCTTTTTCTGTCTTTTATTTTGGTATGTTTGATAATAAATATAATCGTAGTGTATAATAGAAATTTATTCAAAGAATATAAAAGCATTAACAGTTAATACATATTTGAACTTATATTTTTAAATTAATAGAATATGTCTAACCAAAATGAAAGCTATCCCACTCGACGCACTCCTGCTG